AGGAAGGAAGGAAGGAAGGAAGGAAGGAAGGAAGGAAGGAAGGAAGGAAGGAAGGAAGGAAATCCATTGGTCTACATACAGCTGGTTTTCAATAAATCTTACTGTCTTTCATTGAATTAACTATACATTATCATTATGATGAGTAACCAAAGCTACTTTCTTCAATTGCCCTGAAGTGGGATGGCAGTCACAGGTAAAGGTTGTAGACATAGCTTTTATATGATACTGATGCCGTCACACAACTATCCATGATAAACCTCTGTTTAAAATCAAAGAATTCAAAATTGTTTTGAATACAAACAATTTAAGTTGTTTGTATTTCTTCCTGACCAAAGAGAGGAAATGCCAATATATTATAATCTTTGCTTCATGACCATAATTGAGACTGGCAACTTTGTCACTAAATGACCACATCCCATGACTGCGCTAGATTTACAATATCACTTCCACTTCAGTCATTAACAGTGGTGAGATTCAAATTTTTTTACTATTAGTTTTGTGGCCGTGGCTTGGTGGGCTTGGCAGGGGAAGGATATACTGCAAAATCTCATTCCCTCCCTGCCCCACTAACCTGCTTTCCAGCTCCATTCTCCTGTGCAGGGCAACAAAAGAAGACCCAGCCGATCAGCTGGGACTCGGGAGGCAGAGAAGAGATGAGGGTGGGGCCAGTCAGACATGGGATTTATCAGTTCTCTGAACTACTCAAAATTTCTGCTACCGGTTCTCCAGAACTGGTCAGAACCTGCTGAATACCACCTCCGGTCATTAAGCAAATGAGCCCTGGTCATTAAGCAAAACACCATGTGACTACAACTTGCGAGCTCATTGCTGACTTCTCCATTGGCTCTGCTTGTGAGAAGGCAGCTATGAAATGTATGAATTGGGATCACAGGACTACAGGATGCTGCGATACTCATAAGTGTGAGGATTGGTCTTAGGGTTACTTTTTCAGTATCGTTGTAACTTCAAAATGGTTTCTAAACAGGGGACTTGTTTAGCAAGAACTACCTGTGGTCAGGTGAGTTAGAATTGCGGTACATGGGCCTTTTAGATAGATGGAAAGGGGGGGGGAATCATTTAAATTATACATGGAATGACATAAAGCACTGCAAGAACAATGGGACAAGGAGGAGAAAGGTCAGCATTTAGCTTAATTTATCTCTTAGGGGATTATACATCACTCACATCTTCCATTCTGCCACCAAGTAATCTAAAAACTCCGGCATGAATACTAATGAATATCACAATTTATTTTGTTGGATGCTATGGGAGAGAGCTCAAGACACTTGGAAAAGTAAATGACATTTCAGAGCAGTGGTTGATGGAAAAGCCCCTCTTTAAAGATTGCTACTTCAAATTCATAGGAAGGTTTTAATGAGCTCGTGGGGGTGTGTGCTTTCTTTATGAAAAATGGCAAATGAGCCTCATAAATGACTTTAACATTTCAGTCATGAGATGGTTGTGTGTAAAGCTGGGGCCAAGAAAGACGCAGCTTTTTTAAAAAAAATAAAAAGTAAAAAATTGCATTGGGAGGAGGCCTTGCAGCTTCGGCTGTGTTGAGTTTTCCAAACATCTACCTCACCATTGGAGAAAGGAAGAACTTAAAATGTCTGAGCAACAGAACATACAAGTAAGTGACATCTAGAGAATGTGACTTCTGGTCTTGGTAACAATAGCTTTCCATTGTTGTGTGCAATCCGAGATAGATAGATAGAATTCTTTATTGGCCAAGTGTGATTGGACACACAAGGAATTTGTCTTAGTGCAAATGCTCTCAGTATACACAAAAGAAAAGATGCATTCCTCAAGAGTCAAGAATCATAAGGTACAACACTTAATGATAGTCATAGAGTACAGTCAGCAAACAAATCATACTAGGAATACTCTTGACTCTCGACAAATATATCTTTTCTTTTATGTATACAGAGAGCATTTGCACCAAGACAAATTCCTTGTGTGTCCAATGAAACTTGGCCAATAAAAGAATTCTATTCTATTCTATTCTATTCTATTCTATTCTATTCTATTCTATTCTATTCTATTCTATTCTATTCTATTCTACTCTACTCTACTCTACTCTACTCTACTCTACTCTATTCTATTCTATTCTATGAAACAGTCAATATAAATCATAAGGATAGAAGCGACAAAGTTACAGTCATACAGTCACAAGTGGGAGAGGATGGGTGATAAGGAGTGATGAGAAGATTAATAGTAATAGTAATGCAGACTTAGTAAAAAGTTGGACAGTGGGCTAGAAAAATAAGACAGGCAAAAGTAGTTCCTTTTGGTTCGAAAGGAAATAATTTGACCACTGAAGTAGCTTTTTATGAAGATGTAAACAAGATCTTCAGTCAGGAATAGCAGCAACAGTTCCATATATTCATCCTTTGTTTTAAATCCAGTTTGTCGCCCCAAGCCACACAGGTTGGATTCATCTACCGAATTAAACCATAATTTGGTTTTGGTTTACCATGGCATGTGACCCCAACTCCTGTAAATTTTGGCTGTTGGGACTTTGCATTTTGTGGAATGAAATCTGATGTTTGCCAAGGAGCAAACACCTAGTTTTTGTCTAATTCTTTGCTTGTGTTCTGGCAAAGAGCCATGGAAGTCACTTTAGCTGAGCAGAAACCCATCCATGCATACCAGTGGTGGTAGTCTACCGGTTTGGCCCGGTTCGGCTGAGCCGGTACTGGCAATGAGCAGCAAAGACCGAACTGGTTCTCTATGCTGCTGTGCTGTTGGGCCCTCCCACCCACCACCTACTCACCTTTATCCTTTGCTTTTAAAGTACAGCTGCTTTGCACGGTGCAGCAGAGTGCTGCCTGGCAGCTGCTGAAGCGACCGGGAGAGTGCAAGTTTGCAGGAGGTGAGTTGAAACACCTCTGCGCCTGTGCAAACTAGTCAAAAGGGCCCAGCAGAGATTATACTACCTGAGGCTTCTCAGAAAACAACAACTGAATGAAAAACTGCTGGTGACCTTCTACCGCTGCACCATAGAGAGCAACTTAACTTACTGCACCTCTGTATGATTTGTCTACTTATTTGAAAGAGAATATAATGTTCAATAAATGCTTTCTGGCATCTATTTGCTCAGCTCTGCAAAGTTTAGGAGGTCAAGAAATATTTGCTCCGAATGTATTCATTGCACTAACCTTTCCAATGGGGATAGTGATTTGGCTGATAAAATCATTCACACATCCTGTTGTTGAACCACTTTCAACCTGACAAACGTTGCAAGTGGGAGCATTTCTCTTCATCCTGACTCTTCTGGACTCCAGATACAATGGAAGACTCTTTGCTTGTGTATTGTCAAGGATAGGCAACATATGAAATCTTGAGGCCCCTATTGTGGGTATATTCACAAACTAATGTCAGGACAAACTGGTGAAATTACTTCTCATGTATTCTTTACCCACAAAAGATATTCCCTGCAACCCAATTTTCTGTTTGCATAATAATTCTGTTTCATTACTCAGAGTGCCTTTCTTTTTCTCTTCCATTCATTTCTATCAACTTGTGGTTTCCATAACTTAGAACAGGCTGAATATTTTTTGCATCGGCTCATTCCATGTGTTCAACAGAATGGACACGCTCCAGGTACCTTCCTTGAAACAGGGTCATTTGATGGGACCTAAGAAATATCCAGTGGACGTGGTGCTCAGTGGCTAAGATGCTGAGCTTGTTGATCAGAAGGTCGGCAGTTCACTGGTTCGAATCCCTAGCGCTGCATAATGGAGTGAGCTCTCATTACTTGTCCCAGCTTCTGCCAACCTATCAGTTCGAAAGCACGTAAAAAATGCAAGTAGAAAAGTAGAGGCCACTTTGGTGGGAAGGTAACAGCATTTAGTCATGCTGGCCACATGACCACGGAGTCATCTTCGGACTGTGCTGGCTCTTCGGCTTAGAAATGGAGATGAGCAGTGCCCCCTACATCCAGAAACGACTAGCACACATGTCCAGGGGAACCTTTACCTTTACCTAGGAAACACCCTTTCTCTGTTTTTGTGCTTACCTGTGATAAGCCATGTCCACTGAGATTCAGATTGCCCTGACCCTGTTGACCTTTAGGGTGTTCTCTTGAGTGTTGGTATCAGGATGCTGATGAACTTGTCCTCCAAGTGTGATATATGTTGGTGTGTCCTATGCATGTTTGATTCTGCTTGTTGGTTGTTTTATCTGTTGTGTGCTGATTGGAATCAGTTTTTGTGAGTTTGACAGTGGAATTATCTCAATGCATACAATTTTGTCTATAAATGTTTGTAAGAGTGGAACACCTGCACAACCTAAGACCTTAGCATAAATATTTTAAAAAGACAAAGTTTCTTCACTCACAACTTCTGGAGACAAGCCATTCCACTGATTCATTGTTCTCCCTGTCAGGAAATTTCTCTTTAGTTCTAGGTTGGATGTCTCTTTAATAATCTTCCACTCATTATTGTTTTGGAGAATGACTCCTTCATCACTATGACAGCCTCTCAAGCATTGGAAGGCAGCTATCATATCACTCCTAGTCCTTCTGTTCATTAGACTAGACATACCTAGTTCCTTCAATCATTCCTATTTCCCTTCCCTCCCTCCATCCCTTCCTCCTTCCTTTCTTCCTTCCCTCTTCTTCATCCCCCCCTCCTCCCTCCCTCCCTCCTTCCTCTCTCCTTCCTCCCTCCCTCCCTCCCTCCTCCCTCCCTTCCCTCCCTCTTCTTCTCTCCTCCCTCCTCCCTCCCTTCCTCCTTCCTTCCTTCCCTCCTCCCTCTTCTTCTCTCCTCTCTCCCTCCCTCCCTCCTTTCCCTCCCTCTTCTTCTCTCCTCCCTCCCTCCCTTTCTCCTCCCTTCCTTCCCTCCCTCCCTCTTCTTCTCCCTCCCTCCCTCCCTTCCTCCTCCCTCCCTTCCCTCCCTCTTCTTCTCTCCTCCCTCCCTCCTCCCTCCCTCCTTCCTTCCTTCCTTACATTTTTTAAATAAAACCATCCTGACTACCAAGAAAACTTACAGCAAGAAATTTTGAGATTCAGGCATCCAGAACAATCACAAAGGACAAAAAGAAGAAAAAATTAAATTTAACTCAAAATATTCTAAAAGAAAAAAGAAAATAGACATGAATAAAAGGAATAACAGGCCATAAACTTTCTATTTTTTATTCTGTAAAGTACCCAGAGTCATACAGGAATAGAAGAAAATATTTATAGCTCAGGGTTGAACTGTGGTGTCCTTGGTGCTCTATGAGCTTGGTTGTTTTCTTACAGATGTTTCATTACTCAACTGGGTAACATCACCAATGCTAGCCTCTTGTACATAAACAAACAGAGAGCAAATCTCAGTGATGATATTACCTGGTTGGGTAATTAAACATCTGCAAGAAAACAACCAAGCTCAGAAAAGGTCTCCACAAAGCTAGAAGAATTGGCAGTCTGTGCAGGATCAGTGAGCTGAATCAATCTGACCTAAAACAGAGTCACCCAAGATTGAATAGATTTATATTCCTAAGAAGATACCAAAGTAGAGTCAAACAAGTGAGCAGATTCTGTAGAAGTTCTCTATCCGCCGATAGTACCTTGACAGCAAACCGAGATCTGTTCAAGTAATCTTCAGCTTTTGTTTAACTTGTACCTACTTTCCCTTCCCAGCCTTGAACAGCGGAATCTCTCACTGGAGACTGAAATGATGAACCTCCATGATGAATTGGATCAAGAGAAGAAGAAGTTTACGATGGTCGAAATCAAAATGCGCAATGCCGAGCGAGCCAAAGATGACGCGGAGAAACGGAACGACATGCTGCAGAAGGAGATGGAGCAGTTTTTCTCAACGTTTGGGGAGCTCACCGTTGAGCCGCGTAGGACAGAGCGAGGGAACACCATATGGATTCAGTGAGGGCTGTTCCTGCCCCTGAAGAAGACTGTGGGATTCTGGGAAGAGGATAGCTGTGGTATTTTATTGCATTGTTCCTCAACCTTGGTGACTTGAAGGTGCGTGGACTTCAACTCCCAGAATTCCCCAGCCAGCATAGCTGAGGAAAAGAATTCTGGGAGTTGAAGTCCATGCACCTTCAAGTCACCAAGGTTGAGAAACACTGTTTTATTGTAACAGGTGGCTGGTCACCTGACTGAGGCTAGAACTCAATGTAATGTTACGAGACCTCCAGAGACTCTTCATAACTGCATCAACCCACCATGCGTCTGCAAGTTGCTTCTCAGTTGAGAAATCCATCATCATGCTACTGTTAAGTGTTACAGCAGGCTTTGGGCATCTAGATTTTAAATAGGTTATGTGGGACAGGGAGGGGCAGTACGATAGAAAGAAGCAAAAGATTATTTTAATGCAAGTCTTATATTTAAACTGTCAGATGTTAACTTCATTGCAATCCAGCTTTTCTCCCTTGCACTTAACATAGTAAGCTATTTTTGGCCTTGTGTTATAATCAGCTAATTTTGTATATTATTTCCCCCTCTCTCCTTCGGTTGCCCCATCACTGCAAAATTAATTATATAATATATATATATATATGTATAATATATGTATATTTATACACACACACCGTCACACACAAGTCTGTGTCTTTGTGTGTGTGTGTATATATATATAAGATGTTAGCTATTAAAACAAGCGGGGGAAAAAGTATTGTGTGATTGTGCTGTTTATGCCAATTGAGTTGCCCATGACCAAAAAGAAAAGAAGGAAAAAAATGTAAATAATTTTATAAATATAGAACATGAGCATCGACTATGTTTGTTTTATTTTCCCTTTTTTTCCTTTGCATTTCTAATATTTCAATCCTGACCTGTGCACTTGCATCTTCAAAAATCTCTCCTATGGTCACCTCAGGGGTGGGATTCAGCCGGTACGGACTGGTTCGGGCAAACCGGTAGTTCCAGTGATCAGTTGGCCCCACCCACCTGCCCCTGCCCTAGTCTGTCCTTTATTTCTGTGTTTTGAAGCCCAGCTGATTCACACAGCATAACGGATTGTTGCGCTTCAGCTGTTTTACTCACCAGGGCTGCAGCAAAAGGTACATTTTAGCTGCAAATGGCTTTTTTTAAAATGCTGCACATGCGCTCACCAAACTAGTTGTTACAGTGGTTGAATCCCAGCACTGGGTCACTTGAATAGAATAGAATAGAATAGAATAGAATAGAATAGAATAGAATAGA